TGTCTCCCCCCTGTCCAGTCGTACTCTAACTTTCTGATCCATGTACAATTTGCTAATCAATCTTCTTTCATGCCAATCGATACCTGTTTCTTTCAGGATCTGCATTAATTTGGTCCAGTTTACCCGGTCAAATGCCTTCTGCCAATCTATGAAGCAAACACACAGTTCTTCATCTATCTCCAAAGTTCGTTCCGCTATAATTCTCATCATCCCAATTGCATCCCTGGTTCCTTTTCCTCTTCTAAATCCAAACTGATCTTCTCCAAGTACATCCTCTATTTTCCTTTCAATTCTTCTTTTAAGTATCTTTGCTATTATCTTTGCTGTATGTGCAATAAGACTTATTGTGCGATGGTCGCTGCATTTTGTAGCTTTTGTCTTTTTCTTTAAGGCAATCATTGTAACTTCTGTGGATGCACCCAACTAAAACAGTGTTGGAGTTGATTAATGTTTTTGGGATTTTTTGCTTGTTACTTTAAAATTGACATACGATGTGTTTTCTGAATTTGATTAAAATGGATGCAAAATTCTACGTTTGTCATATATTGAGCACCTTGATCCAGTTTCCTTCTTCATGGTTTATTTTGCATTAAGCTAATTATGAGCTTCATTCTTTACTACAGATCTTTTTCTCCTTTTTTTTCTTCTTTTTTTCCTCTCTCTCTCCGTAAATGTATGGAAAGACATATCGCATATACTTAGCTTTTGTGAAGGTCGCGGCATAGCTCAAGCGCTTAGTTTCATGCTTTCCAAGGCGGTTGCCCGGGTTCGATTCCAAGTCTTGTCAAGTGGGATTTGTGGTGGACAAAGTGGCGCTGGGGCGGGTATTCTCCGAGTACTTCGGTTTCCCCTGCCAATCTTCATTCCACCAAATTCTCAATCATCATAATAACCCGGGGCAGTGGCTTCCGTGCTGAGTGGACCCAGTTGGACTCCACCCCCCACTAATCGAATTTATAAAAATAGCTTTCCTAAATCTTTTAAATGAATAATTTAAAATAGTTTTTGGGAGTCTTAAAATGTTTTCATGGGTCTGACATTGAGCGGGATGAAGTTGACTGTGGTTAGTGATCATATGTTGGATATGAAATTTTGCAATAATAGTATGAGTCATTGCAAGTAAGTACAGTTAGCGGTATGTGTACCATGTAGGTATCGAACAGGTGACAACCAAATATGAGGGACACTGGTAAGGGTTGGGATATTATGACTTGTCTGCTGAAATCTTCGCGGAGTGAGCGATTTCATCACACAAGACTGAATCTTTTATATCTGGGTAACGAGCCGCTTTCTTCAATACAAGAATCGGACTAGCAGCCGTCTTGAGTGTAAGAGTTGGGCTATGTCCCACTTAGATAGTTATTGTTCGTACAGGTAATTTGCATGTTACATGGTGATTATAATTAGTAAATACCTGTTCCTAAATTAAAACTGAGATGGGGTTGACAGTACGGTTACATATATTTTAGCAATATTATAGAAATTGTTTATTTTCTCGGGAAAATATTTTGAAGTACAAAAACTGTGACCTATTAGAAAGCTCTAATGTCCAAACTTCAAGACGTAGTTGTGTGTCAGGGAACAACTGCTTTAAATGTAGTTTCATTTTTCATCAGGGTCAAGTTGGAAATGTGGGAGGTGTAGAACAGATTGGTTTAAATTGTCACTTGTAGGAGGGTACGCGAGACGAAATGATGGATTCTAGTTTGGATTTATTAACAGCTTGGTTACATGCACTCTTTCAATTACACTCAGATACAGCGTTATCCCTGACTTACATACACCTCATAACCCACTGTTGCATACACTGTCGCACATATAAAGTCTTCTAAATCACACTTGATATCCTCACAGGCGGCCTTCCGTATTCCTGGTTCAATTTCGCGTAATTCCGCCACTCTCAATTATTCTTAACTTATACTAGCTCCTTAGTCCAAGTCCAAGTCACATTCCGACTGACGGTCGGTCAGTCAGTAAGTCTGACTTGGTGTCAAGCCCCAGCTGGGGCTCATGACCAGATATTTACTATTCTTTGACAGTTACGGTATTGTTTTGTAGGGCGCCCTCTCTGACGAGAGGACGGGTCTGTCTTTTTCATATGCTGCTTGCCCTTGCAAGCGCGGTCTTTTGCTGATCCGAGTCCCTTGTGACTCGCGACCATATTTTATTGTCTCAGATTTGAGACTTCCTTTTACGTCGCCTGCTACGACTCGCAGGGTCACGGTGGAGGTACTCGACCGCTACTCCACACGGGGGTGGCTTCTTAGTTACTCCAGTTTCCCTTATAAACCCTCAATAGGACAGGCGCAAAACGCAGCTTGCTTCACTGTTGCATGACGCCGTTTTTACACAGGAGTTGCTTGGCATTGCTGCCTAGAGTTGTTTACTTTTGCGTACCAACAATCACGGTTCGGTTCGGTTCAGCTCGGCTTTGCACGACACGGCACGGAGAAATATAGCTTTCCTTTTTGTTGCGTAACCTTGTTCCACTGTTGAGTAACTTGGCAACAGGCCGGTTATCTAGAGTCTCTCTTTGTTGTAACTCGTTCCACATCCCGTTGCCGACAACGGCTTGACATGTCACACTGCTCCCTCCTTAAGGCTGTTCATCCCGAATAGACTACAGTGCATCACTGGTCCTTTCCTTCCGATGTTTTACTTGCAACGTCTATTTTTTCTCGGGATCTGTTTTTCCTTTTTCATTCCCGTTGTCCGTTCTACATCCGCTCCCTCCTTAAGACCAGTTAGTCTCGAGCGGGTTCCTGCTAAGGTGCTAGGAGATCCAGTTGCATCATATTCATCCAAAGTTCTTCTTACCTACTCTACCCCCTCCTCTCTCCGTCTATCTCACTCTAGCGGGAGCCATAAATCCGGGAGTGGCCGGTACTCCCACTCCTCCGGCTACTCTTAATGCTTCTCTTTTCCCATCGAGGGGAGCCACCCCCTCTGCACGGATCACTTCATCATTCTTCATAACCAACAGACGATCCGGCTGCTCGATTCCCGAACTGCAGTCCGAAAGCTCTCTTGACGAGCTCATCTGCTGCCCTCTCTATATTCGGACTCAGCTGCCATCTTGTGCCTGGGTACTTTAATTGCTTGCTGCCCTCCGGATACACCTGAAGTCTTTTTCCGAACGTCCCTCCTTCTGGGCTTCTTTGTGAGACATCGTCTTTGTTTTCTCCCATAAATCTGTATCCTGCACAGAGTATAATCCTCCTGGATGCGGTTACTTATTTCAGCGGTGCACAATTTCCGTGGATTTTAATTTTTCTGAATATGTCCCTCTTGCGCCCTGCCACTCTTGCACGGCGAGATATTTTCCTGCAGGCGGCAGCAAATATCCTCTAAGAACCACAATCTACTCCAGTCAGTTTCATCGGCTCTCCATGTCGTCCAGCAGCTTGCTTCTTGCCCCTATGACGTTTCTTCCCTCCTTTGGCCGGTTTCACAACGGCTTCTATCTTGGAGATTTCTTGATGCTTTGCTCCATCTCCATCATAGTTCGCCCTCAATTGTGCCCTCTGCCCTTAGGAATAAAATGCAATACTTCACGCAGGCAGTATTGCCTCAAAAATGTTTGTATTCTACTCTTGTATGCACAGATGCAGAAATTTCCTTTTACATCCATTACTGCTGTCATTGCCATCACAGAAGAAATACATACAATAGAGAAATGGCACTTCATAATCAAATTACAGTCAGGTCAGCAACAAAATCCAAAACAAAAAATGGACAATACTTAGGTATCAAAGTTAGCATACACGCCATCGCAGTGATGAAATTACTAAGAAAACCATTCCATACAACATATTAGTTTCCACTACGAAATTATATAAAATAATAATTTGAGTTACAAAATTGGTAAGTAGGACACGGAAGACATTTCCCTATACATTTGTTACAAACACACACACATGACATTAAAAACAAAAGATTCATGCTATGCAACACTCGCTTAACATTGCGCAAAAGTACTGAAATACAGAAGGTACAAGGAAGAATATACTCTGAAATGATAAGGGAAATTCATAATATTGCAGTTTGTGAAGGCGTTGCTATGCATCTACCGCGAGATGGGCGGATATACGAGGGGAGTCAAAAAGTTCCCGGAATGGTGGTATAGCACTCTAATGGTAGGACATACGGCAACGTTTACTTAATCACCTTCGAAGTAGGGCCCTTGCGCGCACACACACTTTCTCCATCGATCCTGACATCGTTGGAAGCAGCGGTGGAAGGTTTCTTTTGGAATCTTCCGGAGCTCAGCCGTCGCATTCGATTTCATGTCCTCCATTGTTGCAAAACTGTCCCTTTGAGGCCCATTTTCAGAGTAGGGAACAGCCAAAAGTTACTCGGAGCGAGATCCGAAGAGTACGGTGGTTGAGTGATGACAGGAATATTTTCTCTGCGAGGAATTGCTGCACAACAAGCGATGTGTGGCTCGGTGCGTTATCGTGATGCACAAACCACTGTCCCTGCCACTCGTCGCGCCCCTTCCTCCGAACCGCATCGCGCAACCTCTGCAAAACTTGCATGTAAAAATGGCCAGTAACAGT